ATTCTCGAGATTCAGTAGTATAAACAAGATCGTTTCAAACATTCATGTTGATTCGAGACTTGGGCGTTTATTGACTATTGATGAAGTGGAACAAGTTCAACGGCAAAGGATAGCAAGTCTTATCGGCCATATCTTCCAACTTACTTACGCCAATATGGTTGACGAACTAATTCAAGAAGAAAAGTTGAATCGCTGTCACGGCTGTGCTATTCAGCACCCTAGTCAAAGACAACATCCGTGTCTTATGATGGATAAAGAGGATTCTTGGTTGCACTACCGGGAAGATGTGGTGGGAAAAATTGACCTGAATGCCGTCCTGAACAATGTTGAAAGTGTGTGCAAGGCTCTCGGTTTCAAGCTTGGTCAGTCGTGGAAAACGTCCGTCAGCGAGCTACCAAAGATGCCTTGGACAAGCATATTTCTAGCTTCACTTGAGGTAGATGGTTTTGATGGTGATATTAAGAGTCGTGTCTTGCGCGCTATACATGACGGACCTAATGGCCTCAAGACCAAGGATTTTAGCGACCAAAAAGCAGAAATAGAATGCCCTAAACAAGTAGTGAGAAAAGACGAAGAACCAATGGAAATTGACTCTGTAATTAATGACATTCAAAACAAGCTTTGTTTGTAAACGTAATAAAATGAGTTGATCTTTTGATTTTGCGTCAGTGTTTGTTTGTCCTTATCTTAGTTAAGATGGGTCTTTCTCTCTCTTTGCTTCGGGTCAAGTTTTCTTGGTACCGCTTAACAGCAAAAAATTTAACAATATCTACAAGTGCAATGGAAAAGCTTAAAGAAAACTTTTTTAAACTACAGGGCTCAAATCTCGAAAAATTAAAGCAACTCCATTCTGAACTCTTTTCCAAAGTGAACTGGGGACGATTAGTAGTATTTTTGAACTTCGCGGATCAGCTGGGATTAACTGAGGAGGAATGGGAACTGCTATTTCATCTTCTTGTTCCCACTCTCACCCAGATTCCACAGTAGCTATATAAAGGAGCACCAGGGAGAGAGAAGTCATTACATCTTTTACCGTTCAGATAAACACTAGTGATGGGTTGCTGTCCGCCATCATCCACTTTTGGTTTTGAACACATTTTCAATCGCATACGTTGTGTATTAGCTTGCTGCGGTGGTAAAGTGGTTGTACAAAACTCGGAATTTTGTGATGGAGAAAAAACTAACCAGCATCTACCTCGACCCAAGTCAACCCGCAAGTTTCGGTGGTTTAGATGCTGTTTACAGAGCAGTCAAAGAGAAAGGAAAGAACAAGATATCGCGTAAACAAGTCCGAGATTGGTTGAGTCAGCAGGATGTTTATACTCTTCACAAACCCGCGCGAAGACGCTACAAGAGAAGCCGAGTCATCGTTCCTGGAATAGATGCCCAGTTTCAAGCAGATTTGGTCGATCTTCAAAATCTCAGTCGCTACAACAAGGGCTATAAATACTTACTGACTTTTATAGATATCTTCAGCAAGTATGCGTGGGTGCTGCCTTTGAAGTCAAAACAAGGTCAAGAACTGGTCAAAGCCTTTCAAAAGATCCTTTCTACTGGTCGCAAACCCAGCAAACTGCAAACGGATCTAGGAACAGAGTTTCTTAATCGAGTGTTTCAGACTTATCTGCGTGACCACAGCATTGACTTTTTTACTGTAAACTCTGGGCTCAAGGCCTCAGTAGTTGAGCGTTTTAACAGAACATTTAAAAATAAGATGTACAAATATTTCACAGCTAAAAACACTCTCACCTATATCAATGTACTACCCCAACTAGTATCCTCTTACAATAACACTTACCACCGAAGTATTAAAATGAAACCGAGTGAGGTGACTAAAGCGAATGAAACTAAAGTGTGGGATACTTTGTATGGTAATGACGTTGAAAAGCGCGTGCGTTTTAAATTTCAAGTGGGAGATCGTGTTAGGATCAGCAAAGTGAAGCGAATGTTTGAAAAATCTTACCTGCCTAATTTCACGGAAGAAATGTTTACTGTATACAAACGAATGGCGCGTCAAGTACCCGTTTACAAACTAAAGGATGATGCAGGTGAAATCTTAGATGGAACGTTTTATGAACCTGAATTACAGAAAATAATTAAGAACGATGATGTGTACCGCGTTGAAAAGATTTTGCGCAAGCGAAAGCGTAAAGGAATACTTGAATACTTTGTAAAATGGAAAGGGTACCCAGACAAGTTTAATAGCTGGATAGCAGAAAGCAATATCTCAAAGTTGTGACATTTTGTGTGAAGCCAATAAAAGGATTATTTTAACTGAAAACAAATGTTGTTGTGTATAGTTATAAATTAAGAACGCCAGGAATAAATGTTCATTTGAACACACGAAACGATGGAGGTAACACAGTTTTACCTGCATCTTCCAAGCAATAGCAGCCTCGATAAGTTTCCCAACAACACATTAACGGAGTACCATGTTGGTTTACCTCAAACCGTTAGCTTGCCGGGGGACTGGGAAGTAGCGTTAACAGAAATTCATTATCCTCATAGCTGGAATAATGTCCAAGGAAATTTTGGTAATCGATTCTTCCTTCGGAACCAAGAATTGTCCGGAGTATGGGAGGTCGTAATTATACCACCGGGTCATTATTCTTCCGTTGAAGATATCTTATCAAAGATGAAAGGGCTGATCGAGAATGTAAAGCGTTTCAATGACGATGTAACATTTTCCTACGATAAGTTCACTAGAAAGGTGACTATTCACCTACAAAATAACGTAGAACTTTTCTTTGGTAACATTGGATACCTGCTGGGATTTTCACCAGAAAAAATTATTGCTAATACCTCTACCGCTGAAAGACAAGTGGATTTGGAGTATGGCTTTCACGACCTTTTCATTTACTGTGATCTTATTCAGTCACAATATGTTGGAGATGCATTGGTACCTTTGCTTCGAATTGTTCCTGTAGAAGGAAAGGTCGGGGAGCGGGTCAGTAAATCGTTTTTGCGCCCCCAATATTTACCTGTCAGCAGAAAGCAATTTGAAACTGTCGAAGTCGATATAAAGACAGACACAGGGGAGTCTGTACCATTTGAGTTTGGGAGAGTGCTGTTAACACTTCATTTTCGTCAAAGTGCACCTCAGTACTTTTAAGATGAAAAAACTCCACACTCCAAATCACAAGTTGCACGAACAGTACTACGTTAATCAAGCTAAACAAAAAGGTGGGAGTTTACCAGCGTTTCACGGTGCTCGATTTCAGCGGGGTTATGGACTAGGGTCCATATTCAGAGGCCTGTTTCGCTGGGCGATGCCTCACCTTCAACAGGGTGCTAAGGTGATTGGAAAAAAGGCTTTACAAACAGGAGTCAATGTTGTCCAAGATGTTCTTGATAGAGATAACGTTAAAACAGCAGTCCACAAGCGCACGAAACAAGCCCTCGGTCTACCCTCCCAGAATTCATTGCAGGAACAATCAGGAGCTGGCAAAAAATCTATAAAAAGGAAAGCGCAAGGAACCAAAATCAGTTCGCCTCCAGGCAAGAAAGCAAAAACATCTCCGCAGCAAAAGAAGCCCAAAGAGAAATTTTCTTTCTGGAAGTAACTATGGCCTTTGTGCATCACGAGTCTCAGGAATGTACGAAATCGGAGTTGGATCTCTTTACGATTCCTGCAACACAAACCTCTATCACCAAAGGGCAATGGATCAAGTACCACCCCATCAGTAACATCACGGACAGTGGTCCGATCGAATTTTATGTTTCGGGAACCGGAGATGAGTATTTGGACTTGGCGCGTACTCAGTTATTTGTGAAAGCCAAGATCACAAAAGCAAATGGAACCGCCATAGATGCCGATACACAAGTAGGTCCCGTGAACCTGTTTTTACATTCCCTGTTTTCGCAAGTGGACGTTTCCTTGAACGAGCGATTGATCTCTCCATCCACCAATACCTACCCTTATCGCGCCATGATAGAAACCTTGCTAAACTACGGAGAAGAAGCAAAAACAAGTCAACTTTCTATGGCCATGTTTTACAATGATACTCCTGGAAAAATGGATGTTGCCAACCCTGTGGCTGCAGACGATGCCGCAAACAAGGGGTTAAAGGTTCGCTATGATTTCACTAAAGAAAGTCATATTGTGGATATGATGGGGCCCATTCATAGCGACATTTTCTTTCAAGACCGGTTGATGCTAAATGGAGTGAATTTAAGAATCAAACTGAACCGAGCCAAGAACTCGTTTTGTCTGATGTCATCAGCAGCCGCTCCAACTTTCAAGGTGGTAATCACAGAAGCGATCTTGTTCGTTCGCAAGGTGAAATTGGCCTCTTCTATTATACTTGGCCATGCTGCTGCACTAAAACACTCCAGCGCCAAGTACCCGGTTCGCCGAATAGATTGTAAAGTGCTGTCTATTCCAAGAGGATTTAGCAGTTTTAACCCTGACAACATCTTTTTGGGTCACATCCCCAAACGAATCGTGCTGGTCTTAGTGGATACTCAGGCATATAATGGAACTTACAGTACCAACCCGTTCAACTTCAAACACCACAATCTAACTCAAGTGGGTGTCTATGTGGACGGAGAGCAAATTCCTCGGAAACCCCTGTTCTTGAATTTTGACGAAGCTGGAGGTCAAAATGTAATAGCGGGCTATCAAAGTCTGTTCTCAGGTACTGGAAAGTTATCCCAAGATGCGGGTAATCAGATCAGTAGAGGCGATTATGGCTCTGGTTACACAGCATTCTGCTTTGACTTGTCCCCAGACCACTGCTCAGGTGACCATTTTGAGCTAATAAAGCAAGGTAACCTGCGCGCTGAGCTTCATTTCAAGGAACCACTGGCCAATACGGTTAACCTTATCGTGTACGCTGAATTCCAAAACGTGATTGAAGTTGACGGGAACCGCAACGTGTTGTTCGACTATACAAACTAAAAATGGACACTACTCAACTGACCCTTATTTTGAGAAAGGATAAATTTACACGAGGTGTGTTTCAAGGCGTGTATCCCTCAAACCTGCTGCCTGCCAGTGTTTCACATTACCCAGCCCTGTTTATCGCCAATGTGGATACGAGTGACAAGCCAGGTTCGCATTGGGTGGCGTTTTATTTCACCAAGGAGCAAGAGGGAGAATTTTTCGATTCTTACGGATCACCACCCAGCAGATACTCAGGAACATTTACTACCTTTGTAAACAACAATTCTAACCAGTGGACTTTTAATACTGTGACATTACAAAGCATCTATTCAAAAGTCTGCGGACATTACTGTTTGTATTTTGCTTTATATCGTAGTCGGCAAATAAGTATGAGTACTATTGTCCATCGTTTTTCTAAAGACACAAGTAAAAATGATAGTCTTGTAAAACGATTTATTGAAAAACATTTTCCTATAAGTTTTCCGAAATATCGTACTGATGTAAACATGCAAAAAGCAAAAGCACAACACTAAGTTCAGTAAACAGACACTATGTAATTTCTTTTCAACACATTTTATTGAATGAGCAAAATAAAGATTTGTGTTTCACAATAAAAAAAAAAGTCTCTTGTCATGATTTATAATCGTAACCATCGAACAGCCTGAGGGCGAGGACTCTCGACTCTGCGCCTCTGCTTTTTGACAGAAGATAACGTCACAGGTGGGGTGGGTAGCCAACGCGAAGGACTTTCTGGGGTCTCCTCTCTCACTCTTGCTTTAAACTCTCTTATGGCACTCTGACGTTGGGGATTACGAACCAAGTTTTCGGGGACATTCACTCGGGCTAGGCCCCTCGCAAACACGGACCACCCCACTGGTTCAAATCCTTTTCGGTGACGCAATGTGTCGTTGACTAGGTCGACCACGTGAGAACCTGGGATTGGTTTGTTTTCATACAACAGCTCTCCTTTATCATTCCAATGTAACACATCCTGGTGTTTTTTAATTTTATCCAACAGCTGTCTAGCCCCAGCTTTGTACATTTTCGGTACACTTCGCAGGACCTCTAGCTCTACTGCTGTTGGAAGAGAATTATCTGGAGAAGCTTCCTCTGTAGAGTCTGCGTTCTCAACTGGTTTGGAGGTTTCTGTTGTTTTAAGGGTCATTAACTTCACATGGAGAGGCTGGTCTTTCCGCTGATCGTAATAAGTCAAGTACCGTTGCAACACCTGATTGTAAAGCTTCGCCTTTTCCTCATCATCAAGCTGTTTATTTTCTAAAATATCCCCCATTTGGCTATCCAGATTTTTCAGAGTTTGTGTTACAGGTGGGGTTAATATCTGCTGACGTTGCTGCAATCGCTCCAGAGTGTTCTCAGGAACGAGAACCATGCGTCTTGTATGATTCATCTTAAGTAAGAAGCGAGCTCAACACCCGAAGAACGGGAGGTAGCAAAACACTTAAAAAGTTTCCTCCGTGTTGTACCAAGATTTGCTTTTTCTTGTTTAGCGGGGTACTCTTTTCAGCTAAAGCAGTCAAGGCTTTCTTGTGCTTAAGAAGTTTTTTCTTTGCCGGTTTACTGACAGGGACTGTTTCTTTAAGTACGTTGAATACACACTCACAAATGGTTCTTACTAAAGCGTCGTCGGCTGCTTTCAAAATTGCTTTACGTTGAGCTGGGGTACACTTGACGAGGAGCTTAAGAAAATCGTGGTTCTTTCTTAGTCGCTGGGCCATACTCAACTGATATCAATCACTACGATGGAGCTTTTTTATACCTTTCTGACATAGGCGAGCTGAGTCTCTCCAGGGAAAATGCTTGTGCGCAATCGGAAGTCGGTAGGCGTTTCCGGTTTGAGGTCGCATAACAGGTAGCCATAAGGGCGTTTTGTCGCATCCTGAAACGCTTCTTGCATGTATTTGACATGACCGGGAAACATCTGTTTCGCAAGTGACTGACTTGACTGCTATCCCGCGGAGACTTGAACATCACCAAATAATGGCAATTCAAACTCATGTCTCTCAGTTCTTTTCCCCGGTGAAAAATATTTTGAAGAATGAAAATAACGCTTAAATTTCGGTGATGACAGCCCTTAGTAAACAAATTGGTAATTCTTTGATCATTGCTAAGCTCCTGCATTAAATCGTCAATGACCACTAAATTCCGAATGGTTGGGTTTATCATGGATTCTAAATCACCAGGAACTCCTTCGACGAACGTGATGTTGGGAATAGTCCTTAGCATCTCATCGTAAGCCGGTTGGTATATCCCATAACACCAAATGATATTTTCAGGAGCTCCGTCTATTAATTCTTCTCCAGATTCCAACAGGTGTTTGACAAACTGACTTTTTCCACAACAAGTGGGGCCAGCTACAATAGCAGGAAAGGGGTGTTTCCACCTTGGGTCCATGTTGACAACTGACTGGTTCAACTGCGTTTGCTCTTATTTATGGAGAAATGGTCTTTGGTGGAGTATCTTTATCATATACACGAATCATGTTGGTATTTTGTAATTTAGCAAACTGGAGCCAATATTTTCTCTCTAAGTTAGACAGCTCGTGTACCTGAGCCAAATGGTTTGCTAATCGAACTAAAAATTTTGACCCACAGCCGGGAACAGGACAATGCTTGCATTTTAGTTTTTTCATGTTAACGGTATGAAAGCAGACTTAAAACTGAACAAATCTATTTTGCGACACGAAATTTATCGTTTATTTTCGAGGGCACAACGGGCATAAAGGGCAGAAATTAAGTGGTTTTTTTTCTCAGGAACACGCGAGAAGGTCGCGTGGGGAAGTTGTGCGTGGGAACACACTCGCGCCTTAAGTCAGAGAATTACAAGAAACGCTTTTTTCTTTTTTTATAAATCGCTTTATTTATGAATCACACACGCTACAATTTTTGATACTCATTTTCTTTTAATACAGCAATCAATTTACAACACATTTTTATATATCTAGAGGCATAGTGGTAACTCCATCCTCCAACACTTTTCTTTTGGGGTAAAAGTAGGAAAACCCATCTCGAACTTGTTCATAAGTATACATGCTATTGTTGACTACCCGAAAACCTTTATTTAATCCTGCACTACTCTGTTTGGTCAACAGAACATTAAGATATTTTTCTTTGTTAATGTCGTTTGTTTTCTTGTTAACCCCTTTACAACTGAACTTATCATAGGCCCCAAAGCAATAGTAGGTCTTGCTACTTAGACCAATTATTCCTGCCCCTGTCCACTCTTCCTTAAATAAACCTGGTGTTCTTTTGTCATAAGCTTTGTGTTCTGGAGTGTCGGTTCGTGGAAACCAATTCGCCTTGTCTGCTTCAAATTCTCCTCTTAACTCTGGTTTTACTAAACTTTCTACCGATTGCCCTGCGATCGCGATATAGGCAGAGTCGGTGTCCATTTCACAATACTGAAAATCAGTACGATCAAGATACTTATCCATGAAATCAAAATAAAACTGAAGCATTCTAAGTTTAGCGTATTGATAAACGAAAAAACCTATCTGCATGGGAAGGTTCAACTTGATTTTTTTCTTGCAAGATTGCACTTCAAACGTATTTTTATCAATCAGTTCAATCTGTCTAAAGAAGGGTTTGTTTATTAAGCGGGACGCTTTGGTTTCTTCACAAAACTGGACTTCTCGATGGCGTTCTTGATCTGTGATCGTCTTTCCATAACTCGAGTTCCCCACCTATAAAAAAAAAAAAAGAGAGAGAGAGAGAGAGACAACATTGATATGAGGTTTTTTTTTTTTGTACCTTTAAACGTATTTCCTCCTTCTTTACTTCAATAGGAAAACAACTTACCAATTTCATAGTGTCTGCGATGATGGCTTTGTTTGGGTCTACATCTCCAGCCCGTCTAGCATCCGATACAGCTTGCCCAAAGGGTTGGAAACAGGGAACGGGTGTGTACTCTACTACTTGATAAATATGAGTCACTTCCAGACCATGCTCCGAGTACCACTTAATGAGTGGGGAAGCCAATAAGATCTTCTCACCAAAATAGCTACCAACGAGACTTCTTCGAGGTTGTGACATGATGTTCTCTTCCTCAGCAAAGGTTTGCATGTGTTGACCAATATCTTCTCTTGAAATTTCTATGTTTTTAAAAATGGGGCACATTTCTGCAAACTTGGGTTTTAGTGCATCAGGTACTCGAACATCACACTCGACCACTCCAAAGAGGGACTCGCTTCTTATTGCGCTTAAGATCTGGTCTTGTGTCAGAGTCTTGTGATGATCAAGAGGGCGGTTAAACTTGGAGTTAAGAAACTGCTGAACTTGTGAGTTGGTTTTCTTAATTCGACGCCACTGGCACTCGTAGATTTCCACAAGATGGTACCCCTGATCCTTGATGTACTTGGAGGTTTCTTTGGTTTCTTCTCGTAACTCCGCCATTGGTCTTTTTCTCTTTTCGTTCATTTCTTTTCCTTTAGTAAGATGACAGATATGCCCATGCCACCAGCAGCCGTGGAACTGAAAGACTGTTTGAGAAGGACCGTGAAAACCATCCACTGGTATTTTTCTTTCACCAATGCGTTTTTCTGTATTGTTCATTTGGTGGCGTATAAAAATTCCTCCGTCATGTGCCTTCCACTCTAACCACTCGGTTGCCATCCTGGAAGAACTTTCTCTCTTGAAGCCAGTTTCCTCTCGGCGTCTTGTAAATGATCCGGTGGGCATGTCTTGCATGATGGCCCATAGATATAAAGCATTGGCATCGTATCCAACAATCTTTTGACAGGTTTTTGCTTGTTTTCCTTGATCCTCCACTTCTTTTTCTCTGATTTTGGTTTTTCCCGCCTCGTGATATCGATGAAATATTATACTAGGGCCACCCACCATAATTTTCTTAAAGAGATAGTACAGATCTTTGTTTTTTTCGTCAAACAGAGAGAAGAAGATGCCAGATTCCAGGGTGGTAAAGAGGTACGTCAAGGTAACACCGGGAATAGAAATACCTTGTCTTAACATGTCGATCTTTTTATCTTTCCAGAAGGCGCACATTTTTTCCAGGGCCTCACAAAAGGGTTGGACATCTAGGTTGTTGTACCAGATGAGAAATTCTCGAAAGGTCTGCATATTATTGTTCGACCAGACGTGTTGGCAGTACTGGTAGTCTTAGTCAGAAATGTTCTTGTTTTTTAACGTAGAAAAGAACGCTTCGTGAGGTGGAAGGGAGGGGTGTTCTAATTTCTCAAGAGAATCCAGCCATTGATAAGGAAAGAACCCCTTGGTTTGAGGACACTCGTAGGCCTTCAGAAACTTGTCGTAGCTGAAACCGGGAGCAAGAAAGTTGGTGACGTCGAGGAAGCGAAGATGTGGGGTCTTTAGGCACATGAAATTGTGGTTACGCTTGATAGTAAACTGAACGCCTTCATTCTGGACCAGGACAGGAAACAGAAATTCTTTGACGGCATTCAAGTCATATTTGCCAGAATTGAAGCCCAGGACAGGAAGTTCTTGTAGATATTCTTGGAAACGATCTCTCAGTTTCTTTAAAGGATGCACTTTTTTCTTCTCAGGTTCTGGGCTGTTGTCCTCGGGTCTGTCATATTCACACTCGTGATCATTCTCACTCTGATCCTCGTGTTCGCGATCTAAGGCCCTGTAAAACGAGGCACCTTGTTTTTCTACGTCATCGTCAATAAAGACACGATCTTCTTCGGTTTCAGACTCCATTTCTTCTTCCTCTTCATTATCTGTGTCCATGAGATCTTCTCCTTCATCATCGCTATCTTCCTGGGTGAGGTTTTCTATTGTGTTAGTTTTTGAAGGGTCACCAGCTTTTGATTTTTGCTGTAGGTCTTGCAGCTTTTGGTCGATGGCTTCAAAAAAGAAAGTTAAACTCTTTTCTTAACAGGTCATAACTCTTTTCACTTATTTTTACGAGGTGTTCTAACATCTCTTTGACGAGCTGTTTAGAGTTCCCATCTGACACAAAGCACTTGGGTTGGTCGTAGTCTGGAACGTTGGAACAGACACTCACGCTGAGGGGTATATGTTTAGCGTCCCATGTCAGTTTCTCTGTATCATTAAGGTCTGTCTCAGGTGTAAACATACACTCAAAGTCAAAGGTAGCTCTGTAGGGGAAGAACTTGAGATGCTCAGGAACAGTCAACCCTTCGTCTTCAAGTAACTGAAAGATGGTTGGTGGGGTCTTATAAGCACCTCCTGGAAACTGGTAACTAACTTTCGCTTCACAGGTTCGCTCGTGACGATTTAACTTAAACCCATCTTTCCACAAAGTTCCACATCGCGAGCAGCTGTAGGACTTGGCATACTTCTTTAAATCTTTAATATAGGAAAAGTGATTCTGGTACAGGTTGAGGTGCAGCGTACTTGGGTAGTGACAAAGGGAGCGGTAAATCAATTGCGCAGCGATCTCAGGAGCGAAATCCTCTTCCTCTTTTTCTATGTCTTCTTCTCCCTCCTCTCCATCGGGTTTAGTGGGTTCAAGGGAATAGACAAAAATGTTGACTTCGTAGAGGTGTTCTAGGTCGATCAGTTCTTTCAGCTTTACACCAAAAAATTTCTTTTTCTCAGGAAAAAATTCCCTATACCGCTCATAGTAATGTTGTGCATCCCGCTCTAGATTCTTTTGGTGACAACCATTGTGGAGTGCCAAAGCCCGAAAAAAGCACAAATTGTCGCTGTAGACTTTTCCATTATTACGGTTGCGATCCAAGGCGACCAAACCATGGTTCTCGGCCAGATAGGAAGGTAAGTAAGTACCTCTCCCTATAGGATGACCCCGTAGCTTGGTGACGAAAAAGGTTACATTGGTCACCTGTTCTACGACCCATTTGGAGTTGGGGCGTCGCTGGCGTACCCATTCCAAGACGTCAAGGTTTAACAATGCTTCACGGACTTGCTGAAGGTCAGCTGCGGTGTTAATTTGAAAAGGCGCTTCAAAGACTTGCTCATTTTTTCTGGAGGCATAATAATATTGAAGTGCTCCAGTCTCGTTGTTGCGTAGAATGAAACCAAAAGACACATTCAGCTTAAACACCGTGGACTGGTCAGTAAAAATTTCATTCAAATGAGTGATAAGTTCTTGAGGTTGGAGAGAGGACAGGCGGAAATTGTACCAGTCCAAAAGGCGATTTTTGCGGCTAAAACGAGTGCGTATTTGATGCCAGTGGTTGCGGTATTCGGGAACGAGACTTTGTTGTGCTTCAGGGAGGTCGGTGATAGCTCTTGTATCTTGCTGCCAACTAGAACTTGGAGTTGACTGCCTTTTCTCGATAGGGGTCGACTTTATTTTCTTGGTTTTTCGTTCTGAAAGAAAAAAAAAGGTATACATCTATCTAAATAGAATATCTCCAATGTGGTCAAAAAAAAAAGTTACCTTATATTCCATTGGTTGTGAACTTGCCACCACCAAAAAATTACGGAAAATTCAGCTCGCGTTATCCCCACGCTTACAAAACAAAATGGTGACACTCACACGAAATATATGAAAAATTAAAGATAATTGTAAATAACAGTTTTCTGAAGTTACCTCTGACATTTCTTGAAGTCGCAGTTTTATTTTTTCTCGAAAAACAAAGGCTGCTAAATTACAACGAAAAGTGTATACTCAATTGATTCATTATTATTATTATTTTTTAATAAAACCTCTCATTTGACTCCCGGTCTAGGCCTTTGTAATATATTTTGAAAACGTCAGATTAGGCAGTTTTTGGGTGGTAAGATTCAGCTTAACATGCCAAAATCACACCTAAGAGTAGACATAGTCTTCCAAAACAACATTGGCAATAAAGGAGAGTGATCTCGATGCAGGCCACACGATGATTCCTGGTTAAAATGGCCCTCATTTTAAGCCTTTAATAAGTACGGTTATAAGGACAAAAGAAGTGTTCAACAATGTATAACCTCCATTATATTCCGCAAGGTATTGTGTAAAAGGTACTGTAAACAAAGGCCGATAAAGCGCTTTTTCAACACATCCTACTATCTATTATGCGTTGCGAAGGAAATTTACATAGTACTTATCATTTAATTTATACAAAATGTTATTTTGGTATTGCAAAAGAGTCTTCCTACCTGAGTCGTCTTGGCGTGGACGTTTTGCAGTCGTAGAGGGTTTGCTGTGAGCTGTTTTCTGATGTGCTATAAATGGGGCCAGATTTTGAAATGTCTCTCCACAGGTTGAACACTGATATTCCCGCTGAGCCGTTCGTCTCTCGTGGACTTGTTTCTCGTGGCGTTTCAGATCCCAATTGCGATGGAACGACTTGTCGCACTTATTACACTGATGTGTTTTCTCGTTGGTATGTGTTTTTTCGTGGCGCTTTAATTTATCTGGTCGATTGAAGACTTTTCCACAGATTTCACATACATGGCGAGACCTTTTGGTGGAAGAAATATCTTCTTCATCCTGTAAAATTATAAGGTGTATTAACGACGGATTTACAATCCGTTTTAGAGATACCGTGCGACAAGTATTATTTGCGCGGTCTTGCCTCAAAATTACGTCAACAATTGAACAAAGCCTTTCATCTGCATGGTTTTATCATTCTTTTATTTATGCCATAAGTTGTTTTTGTAAAACAATAATTTAAGTCCGTCAAACCTAAGAACTGGCTTCATTTATCATATTATCTAAATCGAATCAATCGTAAGATAACTTTTGTAGAAGCTGTTTCTTCTCAATATAATTGTTAATATGTAAATACCATTTAACCACTGCTAAATTTATGTATTCCATGTTTTACTTTTATAAGTTCTTAATTTTTGTGATTTTATCTATTTGTAGTTTTGGACTATTTCAGTTCACGAGAGAGATTTAACGAGCTACGACTCCTGAACTATTCGTGGTTATAAATAAAGTATGTCGAACAACCTAAAGGTACCTTAATTAGTATTGTAAAACATACCTCTGCTAGTCGTTTCCTGCCAGCTCCACTCTGTATTTGGTTCAAGTGAGGCCGTCCAGCAACCTAAAATAGTAAAACTTGGTTAAGTTGGAAACAATACTCGACCAGAGAGAGAACGTGCATTCAAAATACAGAGAAAGAGAGAGCACTTACCTGTGGTAATTTTTCAAACTCATTTTCCCAATCATCCCATGGTTCAAAGATTTCCAGGGGAACGTCCAAATCGAAAGTGGTTAACTGATTGAAATTCATGACTTCTTCTCACAATTCGTAAACGATTTGCTTGGTAAGGAATGACCATTTTATGTGTTTTGAAACAATAGAAAAAACTGGCAGGTAAAAAATAAACTCTGACATCATCTTACCTGGAAAAAATATGACATCATCATGACCAAGTAGGGACATGATATCACTATTCTATTTATAGATTATGATGTCAACATTTTTGATGACGTCAACCCCTAGGGTATTCTGACGTCACTTGCACCTTGCCAGCTGAAAATAGACTATGACATCATCCTATGTTAATGGATGCATGACGTCATGGTCATTAATTTAAACCATGACATCATCCTATCTTAATGATATGTATGACGTCACCGGCGTTAATGTATTCCCCCGAAAGTTAATGGAATTCCCCCGCAAAGAACCGGCGTAAAACATCCCTCCTCCACTACTCACGGAGGAAATGTTCTGGTATGCTGGACTCGTCGATTACAAATTCAAGGTCAGTTCGTTCTGGTGGACGTCTCGCCTGTCTGCAATGGTTGGCTGCTCCGGCTAACGTTTCAAGCTTTGGCAGTGTCGGCAAGGCAGCGGTAATCCCCATATCTTCCAACAAAACTTTGTCTACTATCGCTGATGCGGGCCGGAGCAAGTCGTCTGTAGCTTTTCGCTTAATGGCTGCAGTCAATTTCCCAGTTTCTGGAAGTCCAACTTCTCCAGGGTGGTTGTGGCCGACTCCAACTTTAAAGTCCTCTCGACCGTGCTGGATGACTGAGGCTGGGCAGTGGTTTGATTTTCCGCGGAGGTTGCAGTGCCAGAACACTATTTCATTTCATCGGCGTTTAACACAGTAGGAGTGGCCGTGGCTGTCGATCAATTTCTGCTGGCCCCGCTTAGATGGTCCTTCCACGATGTGAAATGTCAGAGGCGGAGGTTGTTCGTCAATCGCGTGCTGTCCAATGGCTGGCTCAGTTAACGACGACTCCTCGATTGCTACTGGTAATTCGTACTAGATACTTGATTCTAGAGATAAAAATTCTCTTTAGAATCGCAAATAATAGCTTATTTAAATCCTCCTCCCTACCCTTCAAATAAATAAATAAATATATGTATAATTACCTTCCTCGTTCCTTGTACTCGGCGGGGCAGAGAACATGGTTTCCTCCATAACTGTTCCGTAGTCTGAGGACAACTCTGGGAATGAACCAGAAGTCGTACTTGAGTCTGTGGGTTTAAAATAAATATATTACCTAGTTATTTCTAAATAGCCGGCTTCCTTAAAATTACACTAATATCTACAGTTCTTAAAATCAACAATAAGAGAGAACAAAAATTCATATACCTCTATGATACCGTATGACAACAACAGTGTTGCCACTTCTCACATCCGCCGCAGAGTTGGGCTTCTTGGCGGGAGGTGACGATCGCGGAGCAAAAGATACAATAAAATTCTCCCATAGCGTGGATATTTGATGTTAGCGAGGTAATCGACAGCGATAGTGTTCTATGAACTGGTGACATGCGAATAAATGCTAGACCTTTTATACTGTGAATCCCTTCTCCGATGGATCGAAATTGGAGCGATTTCATTGGTGAATGCGGATGTTGTTTACTATCCTTTTTTAATTGACATACATCAAACAATGGACCCAGCCGTGAAGTGGGAACAAGCTAATTTCGTGTATTATATCCTTTTCACTTGTATGTTAAAGAACAGTCTCACCTCCTCTAGTATCGGCTCCTCTCACGCGTCACGAGTCTACACATAGAAAGTGAGCGGTGGTTAATTTCATCTAACCCGCGCGAGAGCGCATGAGTTAACAAAATGGATCGCGTGAAAGCGCATGAACTAACAAAATACAACTTTGTAAAGTTTATGATTCGACAAGTTCAAACATCGACATAAAATTGGACCCAGCTGTGAAAAGTGGGAACAAGCTATTTCTTAGAACCCTAACAGCATGCCAAAATTGAGAATTTTGGAAAAAATGTTTCAGAAAAGTTATAACAGAAACTATAGACTCCTAAGGGGTCACCCAGGAGGCGTGCACGAGTTCTCTAGTGAAACGTTCTTTTGGGAACACATTCCCCCTTTGGAGTTGCGGAGGCGTACGAACTAATGAAACTTTGGTGGCTGTGGGTATTTTTGGGTTCGGTATTCCACCTGCCCACCCTGTTAAAGCAAAAAAGGAAAAGGACAACTGGCTTGAAGCAGTCAAGCGAGTTCAAACGCTCGAGTTGCTTTTGGAACCTTCGAACGTGGCTCTTCTGCGCTCTATCATTGCGCAGCCGAATTTTCCAGATTCCTTCTTTTATCATTTATCCCCCCAAAACAACCAGCGGGAACGTGATGATAGAAACCAACAGGAAGAGTAAAGTGACAACGAGACTTTAATCTAACTTACTGTTCTAAAAGGCGGGATATGAATCTGTTTAAGACGTGAGCGATGTATTTTCTTTCAATACGTGGAGCTAAGAAACAAGAATTTAGGTTATCCTAGGGTATTGTAGTAGCTAAAGTTGTATATGATCGTTTATGGAAAGCAGCATATTGAAGTATAGGATCTTCGGCGAAACTTTTGATATTTGAATAGAAAATGCAATGTGCTGCTTACTGACTTAGTGAAGACGGTTACGTGGTCGAGTATGAACCAAATAAACATACTATGAAGTTTCAGCTCAATTGAAGCAAGTATCTCCGAGATATTCGCAATTAAAAATTGCTGTTTTTTGGCTCTTATCTTCGTAAAGCGGTCGGAAAAATTGTCGGAAAAAACAACTTGTGACGTCAATGTTGGTCAGGTGAAAAAAAGGGGGAAATTCATTTCAGAGTTTTTCGAGTCGACTTGGCACAGAAGTGGTTTGTGCGGCCATAAACCTGGAAAGAACAGGCAATTTGTCTTCAAAAGTTGCAAGCTGTGATTATAACCTTCTTATTATTTAATTTTCTCGAAGAATACATCATAGTAAAACGGAGTTTAACGACATTTACTAATTTCCTTGAATTGTACTGGAAATGTGCGTGCGTAAGTCCGATTTTTTTTCAAGACGCATTCACAAAATGTGTTCATATAAGGAAGTTCCTGGATATATAAAGGTCCGGGGCTCCACCGTGGACACAAAAGCAAAATATCTTTGTATAATAATCTGCCCAAAGAAATTCAAGTTTGCCCACAATGTGTTTGAAGTCACTGAACTTTGTTGCACTCGAGCTGATATTTTAAAACCAACGCTCGATTGGACACTTCTAGCTTCGCGGAACACTAGAATATAAACAAAATTCTCAATGTAGAAGTTTTGGCATTGATATGTGGGCAGAAAAAGAGTTAATCTTTATCTAGTAAATCTTCGCCAAGATCGTTCCAAAGCAACCATAGTTTTTAAACTTGATTAGATTAATTTTGGTTTGTGTTGTCAAGTTGAACATGGATAACACCTGTTAAAAACCTACACGTAAGTAAGATTTCCTTATAAGATTTAATTACCGATTGAGGTCACTTTAAGGACCATAGCTCCACTTTAAGCTGGCAAAGAGATGCGACAAGCAAAGAACATTTCCATCATGCATAAAATTCAGCTTAAGTGAACTAAAAAAAGCTTCAGTAAGGTTGCAAAACAACAAATTTTTATTAAAAAAACATAAGGTTTAAGGCACTTACACCTGATTACAAAGAAGAAGTGAATTTTCTGTACGGAGACAACTTACCTAAAAATCTTAAAAGAAAAAGATCAGTTGCAAGCGTCGCAGCCAAGCCATGATTCCCACTACTTACAGTCTCAGACAAAAATAGCTGGGACACTTACCGCAAACCCCTTTTTTTCCTTTCCCGTGCTTCCCTTTTCCCTCCCAATGTTGTTTATTGCGATTCAGTCGGCAAATCGTGTACACCAACATTGAGAGGAGAAGAAGACACAAAAAGGTCCCAACAATTTTGACTGCGACTGTGTTTTAGAGGAATTTTGGGAATGTGACTACTTGATGGGTGTACTGGCGGGAAATCATGAGGGATATGTACATATGTGTAGCACTGTTTTGCGAACTGCAAAAAAGACATTTCACGGTAGAACACAATCAGAGCATGAAATAAAGTGTCTATTTTATTACAAGCCATATTTCGAGATTTTCATGGAAAAAATATTTGCAGTGTAGAAAGTTTTTCAGGTATGCCGAACTCATGTCTTTTGCCATGATTGGCAAAAAGGGGCAAAAAGTACATCTTCCTGCTCCGAAAACGCACTTCTCTCAGGACATCGAGTTTACCCGTGATACTCCGATTGTTTGTACTAGTAAAGAGGAACTCAGTTTTGTGAGCGGCGGAGTACTTGACGAGAGGGAATCGCAGATGATGAGAGTTCGTTGGAAGGTTTTCGCCCTACAGAGCCCAATTCCCGAGGAAGAGTAACGAATTACTCCTAACAGCCCCCATTGTTTTGCCAAACTGATCTTCCCGCAAATCTAGTGAAGGGATGGTGACATGTTTATCGGGTCACCATCACGGGTCACCGTACTTTACCGGGCCTTTACTATCACCTGCTCAGTGAAAACAATTGAATCAAAAAGTCAAAGACAAGTGTGTTTCACACAAAAATGAAAATGCCCGTATTCAGCGCTGTTTGATACACACAAGAGAATTTGTGTACATTTGGAGCATGGTGACACAGTTTTTCGGTTTAAAAAGAAACGTGCTATTTTGTTCATTACATTAAAGTACGGTGACCTGTGTGCACTTTAGTGCACCGCCTGTTTTTGGCATTAGCAGCACAGATTTTTTCGTCTTTTCCGATGAGTCATCAGTTTTACGGATTTTCCCTCTTTTATGGCAGATTTTTGGTGTTGTATGACTATTTCATTCCGTGTATATTTGCTCATAAGTTTGACAACCGATGTCACCATTTGGTGTTAAGCCAAAATACTGTGTAAACACAACATCTCGAAACTTTGCGATTTAACACCTGCTCTTTTGTGTAGCTATGATCTTGAGAACTTTCTTGGTGTTTGACGCTTTAAAAGGAAAAAAAACATTCTCATCAGCTCGAAGAAAATGGTACATAACTGATGTTTTTGGGATAGTAGAGCAACTTGAACACATGATTGGTATATTTATTCATATTGAAGCACACGCGTACCATGTCTGTTGTGTTTACTTAAGAATTTATTATGTCAAGAGCGTTGACAAGTGATACAGTTTAGTTTATTGTCTCTCACATAAAAAGTTTCCCCTTTCAGTTAGAACTATACTGTTAGTACAGCAAGGAAAATATTCTTTAACGCATTTGTAATATTCAATATTTTATTCGCCCTCCCTTTACAGCAATAAGCTTTAAAATACGCGACGACATAGAGGAAATAAGCTTATTAATAGTCCCTATTGGTATGGAATAAAAGGTGTTAATAACTCGTTCCTCGAACTCACTATACGACTCCCTCGTTATTTGGCGTTCAGTGGCCTGTATCTCTAGTTTACGAGCAACCACAGGGAAAAGATTTTCATGGCAAAGAACGTCAGCACATCGCGCTGGAAACTGTTTGCTAACTTCTCCATATCCTCAAAGAATTTGACTTCGTTAGCTTTATTCGTGCAGTGGAACTGCCTCATTTTTGACACCACTTCCGGTGTCACAGGGGCATCATTTTTGGTGTTTAGCGGATGGGCCGCTTCCTTACATTTTACGATCATGCGTGTAATCTCATCCTGTAACCAACGACGTAATACCTGACTTGCTCCTTCTATGTTTTCTGAACACGTTTCTGCCATTTCGGACATGGCTACCTTTGGTCTAGTGAACCATTCACAATTTTTTGGATTTAGCTTTTCCTTAATCTGTTTAGTAGTGAGCGCGGCTTCTATCTTTCCATATGGTCGCAACAATTGTTTATAAAACGCGTTCCAAACTAAATTGTGGTGTTCCAATTTGGACAAATTCTGAGTAAAATAGCCATTACGTACTAAACGATTTGGCTATTCCGAAAGATATAGCCAATTTGTAACGAATAAA